TGGGAGAGGCTAGCCCCGGCCCAAGAACCTGCCCCTCTTCCCCTGCCGGAGCCCCCCATCCCTGCGGCTGCCAGCCCCAGGGGACCAGGTGATGTGCATTCCCCCGACCCCGCTTGCGCACAGAGCAGGCAGGCGGGTGCGCCCCCCCCCCGGAGCATGGGGCAGGTGCCCTCCCCAGCCTCATTGTCCCCTGATCCCCCCCCCCAGCACCTCCAGCCTCCCCAGTCCCGGTGGCCCTAGCCCCAGCCCAACACGCTTCCCTGAAGAGGAGCAGCCTGCCTGGGCTGGGGCCAAGGGGGAAGGGCAAGCAGTAGGGGGCTTCAGGGAGGAGCGTGGGCAGGGCCATGCCAGGATGTTTGGGGAGCCACAGCCTTCCCCAGCCTATGCAATGTGCCACCCAAGGTAGCAAGGACATCATAGAAGAGCAGGTTGTAAGAAATAACCTTGGATTGAGTGATCACCAGTTGATTCATTTTACATTAAACTAAATTAAAACCAGGTTGCCATGTTTGTTTCTTTTTATTTCTAAAGGGCAGTCAGATGGAACCCTAGTCAGTCATAGTCCTTCCAACCCTTCTGCAAGGGTTCTCCCTCCCACCCTTGGATAGAGGGTCCTATCAATTTGTTGAATCAAAAGAAGGCCCTGTAAATTCATCCTTTTTATGCCAAAAGCCTGGTATAAAAGCCTTTGTTTGTTGGGCTCTGGAAAACAGTTTGAACCAATAAATGCAAACCACCCCAGGTGGTGGTATCTCTTTGGACGTGTTTACAACCGAAATGATTTACACTCCACTGTATTTAATGCCTGGAGTTGCTTGGTAACCCCTAGCTGACAGTGATACATAAACTTTATACAAGATGGTTCCCAAAGATATTGCATGCCATGGCAATATCCATCATGCTATTACCCTCATTTTACAGATGGGGATCTGAGGCTCAGAATGACTAAGGGCACGGGGGGAGGGATAGCTCAGTGGTTTGAACATTGGTTGAGAGTTCAATCCTGAGGGGGCCATTTAGGGATCTGGGGCAAGAATCTGTCTGGGGATTGGTCCTGCTTTGAGCAGGAGGTTGGACTAGATGACCTCCTGAGGTCCCTTCCAACCCTGATAGTCTATGTCTATTCTGCCCTGCAGTTCATGTTAATGGGCAGTGTGAATAGCTGTGCACACCAACATGCTGCACTGTAACTCCCTCCCTGTGGGCATGAACTTAAAGTCCTTAGTTGACACTAAAGTAGGACTACCTTTAAGTTCATGCCCGCAGAGGGGAGTTACAGCTCAGCCCTTTGGTGAACACTGCTATTCACAAGCCCTGCATCCAAACTTCAAAGCAGTGTAAATTTGCTCATTGTGACTTGCCCAGAATCTATGACAGGGAATTGAACCTCTGTCTCCTGAGTCCTCAGCTAATGCCCAAACCACTGGACTATCCGTCTTCTCTAGACGCATGTTTCCTCCAGTCACATTTAAGTCCTGTCTAGTTTGGTGACTGCCTCTTCTGGTGTGACATTACAGTCATCTGAAGTGCTTTTGTTAATAGCTCTGTGGTGTAAAGAGGAGAGATGATGGCGATCTGAAGGATCTAAGAATCTGGAACTTTCCTCTTCACCAGATCCAGGGTTTGACAATGTTGAGGCCACACTGTGTCTATACTATTTTCCTTCCTGGATGGGGGTGAGGGGAGCAAGGTAGGTTTTTTTTAAAAAGCTTATTTAGTGTACTTTGTTAATATTTATTTTTAAAGACCGTGTAATGCCCTTGGAGTAGGAGGTGAGACCAGGATACATTTAAGTAAATAAAATAAGTACAACTTCATGATCATTTACTATTGTGCTGCTGTCATGGTTGTTGATACTGCAAGTCACAAGTGGAAATTAATTTCTATTGCAGATTCATCTGTTTCTGTATCCTCAGATGTATCTCCTAGTTAATCCATTGTGAAGAGTCTGTGTGCTCTGCAGAGGATGCATTTTAATTCCTGATACAATGTCAGTGTAATCCATGTTTCTGATGTTAGAAGGCTTTGTTTACCTTTTATTCTATTAAAGGTTTTCTACACTGCAAGCATATCTTCCTTTTGCACAGAATATCCTTACTCACACTTCATTGAACTAACACATTCTGGGCCAATTTTGCTCCTGTCATGTGATGAAGGTCTTTCATGTGATATCACAGGACTTGCTCAGACAACCTTATACAAACACGTCTAGGGTACAATCAGATCCTGGCTGGATTGTCTTCCAGTAGTCGTCTAGGGTACAATCAGATCCTGGCTGGATGTCTTCCAGTAGTGCTACAGCCTCCTGTTCAAACACATCATCTCTCCTAATTCATTATCAAGCCAAAGAGCTCACTCAGGACAGCGCAAAGTCAATAAATGCCTTGGGATTATTTCACTGGTATAGCGCCACTTCTTGTCAGAAGAGGGATGTAACTTTGAGTGTGCAATAATGTGCTCAAACTACTTCTATTAGATTCTATGGGTGTTTACTCAAAGTGATCCTGAACTTTGAACCTTTTAAGATTCCCTGTCGCTTCTCACACACTCATATTTTGTATTTAGAAACAGTTTTTTGATAAAGGTGACCTGTCTAGTCAGTGTGTTGTGACATCATAAGAAGTTTTTCTGGTGAAATAGCCAATATTGCTAGGATGACTTGAATGAGTTTACACTGCTGAAGTACTCGCAGCAGAACTGATACACTGTAATAAAGAAATCAGTACGCTTTGATTGTGGCTACCACAGCAAAAATCTATTACGCAGCCTTAGTCATGTGGTCTGTCAACAGTTGGTGAGGAGAATTAAAAAAGGTGAGGTGAGCAAAAGGAGGAGTCGTAAATCCCATAAGAGCTATTAGAATTATGAGGGAATTATAGTGGAGCGTGAGTGTAAATGACCAGTGTGGCCATGCTTAGACCTTGTGATTTATTTTTCTTTCAGAGTGGTATTTACTTCTCCTTTCTCTGTCTAAGTTATTGCACCTCCAGTTGTCCACATCCTGGCTCCGCTGTGGAATATAATCTAATATTTCAGTTCCTGACCTGTAGGTTGATAACACTTTCTTCAGGTCACAGTGCTGTACAAGGCAAGTTAAAGGGATACAGTCAAGATAGAACACCTCCAATGATTAAAACAAAAAGAATTTCCATTTCACCTTTTATGAAGTTTGCTTACCTTTTACAAGTCACACAGCTAAAACTGTCAAATTGGACTGGGCTGCCTTTCTGGTTTTGCTTTAGACAGCTTTATTTTTTGCTTCTCGTGAATTTAGCACCAGGCTGTTGCATTTGATTTTCTAACCCACTAAGGGAACAGTTAAATCCAGAACAAAAAACGGTTTCCATTAAATTTAAAGAATACATTTTGAAAACACTGACTATTTATATTGGACCAAGTTCATCACAGATGTAACTCTATTGACTGTGGAGCTCATTTGCTATGAACAACTCCTCGGGCAATAGGCATGTGAGTGCTTTGCTCCCCGAATGCATGTGATCATAATCTGACCGTTGCAGAAATCACATCCCAAGAACTTGTGGCACCTTAGAGACTAACAAATTTATTAGAGCATAAGCTTTCGTGGACTACAGCCCACTTCTTCGGATGCATCCAAAGAAGTGGGCTGTAG